TACCGAAATTTTACAATAAATATTTGAAACAAAAAAAGGTTTATGAATTATTGTAAGATTACTGATACATTTCTAATATTTTTTCAAATTTTAGATGAATTTTGTAAATAGTTAATACTCTTTAAAACAAGAAAAAAGGTCATTCGGCAGCCGAAATGGAAGTAGATTTCCTAATGAGTAGAAAAAAAAACTACTTGGATTGTATACGAAAAAAAAAACCATTGCAACAGCAAATTTCATAATTGGCATAGCAGAATAGGACATAACTTCGAAACTACACACATGATATGGTACTCAAATTAAAGCTTAATTAAAGAGCTTTCAGATGCAATTTACAGAGATTCAATAAGTTATTCCATTCAAATGTTATTCGAGTAAGAAAATCCTGGTATTTCTAAATTACTTGACCGATTAAGCTCATCTTCGAATTTGACTTCGGTACACAGAAAAAAAATGTTCTTGAATTAAGTATATAATTTTGAAGAACTTGACATTCTTGATTTGAGTAGAAAAATTCTTGATTTAAGGAAATTTTTCTTAATTTAAGAAAATTTTACTTGATTCAAGAATTTTTCTCTTGAATCAAGTTAATTTTTATTTCAGTGTATCTATCTGTAGAATAAGTATGTTGAGTTTGGTAAAGATCTATTGTAAATTGGCGACGCTATTGTCATGACAAGCCGCGTTACATCTCATATATATAAATATATACATATATGTATAAACTTTTGAAACATATGTATTTTCTAACTCAGCTCGTCGAGTTAAATCGGAATAGAGCAAAATTTTTCAAAAATACCGTTAAAATCTACTAAAAATTAGTAAAAAATTTCTCTAGTTTCGTGTTTTTCAATCACACAGTAAAAAATTTTGCGTCATTGCGTCAAAAATCTTAGTGTTAAAAATTTTTGTGTTAAATATTTAACACTTTTATGTGTAAATTTAACATTTATTCTGTTAAATCAACACAAAAAAGTGTTAAATATTTAATATAAAAATTTTTAACACAAAATTTTTTGACGCTATGACGCGAAATTTTTTACTGTGCAGTCTTCAACGAGGAACACCTTAAAATTGAAAATAATACATCAAAAATCAAAAATTAATTGATTTTCATTTAAAAGAATCATTCAATTCTTCCAAGTCAATTTACAATTAAAAATTATAATTTTCTTCTCATACTATAAAACTTTTATTTAAATACATAAAAAAAAAGTTATTTCTGCATAAAAATGTAAGCTTTCCTTTACTTTCATTTAAGTTCATGATAAACACACATAAAACTTTTCATAAAATATGTTTTTAATTAAAAAAGAAGAAAAAAATAAAACTCAGCAGTCTCCTGTGTAGATTTTGTCAAAACTAACAAAAGTAACTATCAACTATAAATGAACAAATTTTTCCTCACAACTATTAATAATAAAAATAGAAGAAAACTAACTTTTTTGTTCAAAGAAAATTTTATCTAGTAAAATCACAAACTGGAATAAATAATAAAACTAAAAATTTATATGAAATGGTTTAACAAAAGTTAGTTGTTAAATTTGAATTACTTATGTATATTTAAGGCTGCTAGTTACTTTACAACCGTGAAATGAAGTTTCTCACTGATGTTAACAAAATAAAGCTTTATAATAAATTATTATTAATAATGTATAATGCATACAAAATTTTGTTTACAGTACAACCTTCAATTAAATTGACAATTGAAAGTTTGTAACTCTACACCTCCATAATATAAACCTAACCAGCAAACAGGAGCAACTGGGCTGTTTATTACTTCGCATCTCGTTCACCAAGCAGAGGAAACATCGTTACGACGTGGAACGTGCAAGGAAACTGACATATAAACTGTTGGCAAAGTATAAAGTGTTGGTAATTGACTTTTTAACTTGTCCGTTTTATACAAGTATATATTATATATTCTATCTGTGTTTATGAGTTATTATTTTTTTAAAATAATAAAATCTAAAAACATGAGATGACACAAGACGTAAAATAAAAGTGATGATAGATAAACTAAAAAATGAACTTTTCGTACATTATATATATTGTATCTCATATATATCGTCCATACTCTCGCTCGCGTTAGCTCTAAATCCGGTAAAGAGTAAAAGAATTTATGTTTTGACTGTAAGTTGTAAAAATAAAATCCAAAAGGGGAAAATATATCTATAGATGGTGGAAGTTGGAAGATATAAAAATAATGCATTCAGTGTTGTGCATTAATATTTTTGTCGAGTGTTGAGGCTAGATATTTTCGTAGTATAAAGCAGTTGTCGATCATAGAGTGCTTGAGAATCTTGGTGTAAGCGATCGAGGTCACAATTTTGTAATTTAAAGCACGTACTAAAGTTTTCTTCACTCGAGACACCTGAGGTACACCGAAAGACGTGTCCAGAGTTTACGAATCATATTTTTATAGTCATTTTCGTCGAACGATATTTTCATATTTTCGTATCGGGACATAAATAGCGTGATATAATCAACTGTGTTCTTTTTATTTTTTGGCATGAATTATTTAAGGTACCTCCGCTACAATCCAGATAAAAAATTTTGACTCGCTATCCATGTTATACGTATCGACAGAGCTAAGGTTGTAGGTTAAGATTTTTTAACGTTACTGTACTCGTCGACTACTATATTCTCTATACATATACACACACACTACGGTTTTAGTGACTAGCGGCTGATTTCCGTACCCCCTCCCCTAAAAATAATCCTCTAAAAGTGAAATTGATTTTAATTAATCTCGAAAACTACATGGCAAATAATTTTCATTTTTTGTTTAATTGTTCGAAATATCATATTCTTCAATCTACTAGTTTTTTGATAAAGTCTTGAAATTCCTTCGATGGAAAAAATTAAAAATACTGTCATTTTCCCACGCTTCTCCTATGTTACACGTACAAAAATGTCATTTTCAATTGCAATTATCTCAAGTTTGGTATGGTAAATCGTCTTCAAATTTTAACAGCATATGTATTATGTAGTTAATGACTTATATTCAAAGTTTCGAGGATTTCTTAAAATATTGCTTTCATAACCGTACTACCTTAATTTCTCCTCGGCAAAGCTTTTTTTTTTTACTATATCGTATACAAATTGTTATGGTAAATAGTGAACCAGGAAAAGTCATGGGTTTAGGTTCGGCTATCGGCTAGAACGAAATTAAAGTCACTAATGAAAATTGAAAATTTTGAATTAAACAATAAAAATTTTAATAATTTTGGCTTAAAAGTAAAAAATTTTTGTTTAATGTTATGTTACATTTTACAAGCGAATGCTCATGAAAAAGTTTATAAATTTTTTATTATCATGAATTGCAATTTAGTGACTGTCGGTATTAAGGATTGATATGACCAGCCGTGGGAATGATAGATAAGCGTTGATCTGTTGATATAATATTAGGTGATGGTATCAAAGTACTAAACAACCCTGATAGCTACAGTTTCAGACCAACCAAGTTGGTGTCAGATAGTTGCCACCAACTTACCGACAACTTGCGGTCAACTTCCGAATTTGAAACTGTTGGCGTCAAGTTGGCTACATGTTTCTGAGAAAAACAAGACCAATCTACTGCCGCAATATGTCGCCAAATTTCTCGAGAAACTTGTCGTCAACTTGGTGCGAAAGAGTTTCGAAAGCAATTTCTGCCGACAACTTGATGAACAACCGAGTTCATTTCCAAGACTTGCCGCCAACTTGGTGACAAGTTGCTGCAGCAAATCAACGAAAAGTTGCAACCGGTTTGGCTATCAGGGAAGTTTTTTGGTAAACACCTTGATAGCCACCTTAACTGAAACTTGCCGTCAATCTACTGCCACAATTTGAAGCTAACTTGACGGAAAGAATTGGAAAAGCAAGCGGTTTCAGTTAAGTTGTCTCTAAGTTACTCTGAAATTTGACGTCAATACTTGCTGTGCAAATATTTCAGTCAAATTGTAGTAAAGATAAAAAGAAATTTACCTACGAGTTTGATTGCTAACTTGTATTTAAATTGCGGCTGTAGATTTTCGTCAATTTTCTTACAACTATTTTTCAGTGAAAAATTACCGCAATTACTTGATGTTAAGTTAACTGTAACTGCTGAAAGTCAACTATTTTCTAAGAAAGCGCTGGCTATCTGCAGACATCAATTTGACGGAATATATACTTGGATATTGATCTTATCTTCGGAAGAAAATATTATATGGACCAATGAAAATGTTTAAGAAAGTAAAATTGTCTCAAAGATTCAAATAAATTGAATACTGTTGTTATTTCTGGCCATCTTACATTGAATTTATTTTAAGGGAAATATGATCAACGATTTTTGTTTGAAAAAAAACAAAACATTGACAACACAGTAAAAAAATTATTTTGCAAAAAAAAAGTTGTTCATATTTCCCTCAAAATTAATTAAAATTACTATTGAAAGGTTGTGATGTATCTGACACGATAATTTGCAAAAGTCTAGTATTTTTTTACTACTATTTTTTCTTTTCAATTGACGCTCTTTGACTAAGTGAATTAAGTTTCTCAACTAAATTCTAATGTGAAAGGTTATACAATTATATTAATTTTATAATTGATCTTTTATAAGCCGTGAAAATTTATTTTATTAAATTTTTCTTTTTTTCTTTTGAAGAAAAATAAATTATGCATATAAAAAGCTAATGGTTGATAATATAATTTTCAATATCAAAAAAACTTATAATTATCTGTAATAAAACAACATGCTTTCATCTTTACCTTCTGTTTTCTTAAATAATTCATGACAGTATTACACATGTAAGGCCATTATTTCGACGCATTAATTTAAGTAGATAAAAATTTAACATCTATAAAACTTTTAGTAAATATTGACATTTATTTCTCTACATTTCAGAGATTAGAATACAAATAAACACGAAAATATTTTCTTATGCTTTCAGAGGAGTATCAATTATATAACTCATAAAATTTTATGATAAACAAACAGTTCTTACATTGAGTAATGATATAATTGATGATTACTATTATAGGTTCATTACTTTAATATTTAATCCAGATAGATTGATAACAGTTTCATGAGACCGGAAGTAGCTTAAGAAACTGAGAAATTCATTTCCAACGTATCCTGCTAGTACATTGGTCCCAGGATTCTCCTTCAATTGACAGAACAGCCCACTACCGTACCACATCTATAAAATGAATTGCATTGACAATATTAATTTCAAAAATTAAATATTAAGCTAAAAACTCTAGTAACATTGAACTTGGATAAGTATTTTTAACCAGATCACTTGACAAAGTTTTTTGTAAAGAATCAGACAATTTTGAACCAGACAATTAATCCAGATTCTGTGCACAGTAAAAAATTTTACGTCATTGCGTCAAAAATATGTTGTGTTAAATATGTAACACTTTTTGTGTTGATGTAAAAGAATTTACACGTAAAAGTTTTAAATATTTAATAACAAAAAATTTTAACATAAAATTTTCTGTTGCAAAATTTTTTACTGTGTATCCAGACTTGAGCAAGATATTAGATTTGGATTCAGAGTGTCGCGAGCAATACTTCGTCAAATTTACGAAAAGAATTGTAAAAGCTCAAGCGTCACAAAAAAAAATTTTGACTTTTTGGTAGATTTCACTTAACAAGAAGTTAAAAAATTAATAATCGTCAACTTAAATGCAACAAAACATTAACAAAAAAAAAATTTGTGCCGCCTAGGAATCTCTTGGACGAAAATCTTGACCTAGACTAAAAACTTTATATAACTTTTCACTAAAAGACAAGCTATTTCATTGAAATTAATTTATTTTTGATATACTTACCCCCTGAAGGTCATGAGTGCACGTAAATTCTGTGGCAGATTCTTCGGTTAAGCCTTCTTCGCTCAGTTGGCATGAGCGTTTTATAATGATTGGCGGAGTTGATACTTCCGGCATGAAGCATTTTGAGAAATCAACGTCATTGATGTCTTCAGGCAATTTAACGAAACTATTTGCAGTGATTTCATCCAAAGGAATGACTGGTTCATCTATTATCAGCAACGCAACTTTTCGGTCAAAAACGGTAGTTCCCTTTTTGATGTTATTACCAGTATATACATTTCGGTGCTTGACTGATAATTGTGTCTTCACCAATTCAGAATTGTATATAGTATTGACGATCTGAATAGAAGAGGACATTCCACTTCTGTAAAAAATTAAAAATTAAGTAGGTTGTTATAATTTAGAAGTTTATTAATTTGATTTTTATGGAGGTCCGGCTGTAAATATTCAAATATCATCAACGAAATATCTTACTCTTTAACACACTCAGAGTGAGTGAGGAATACCCGTGGCCCAATAAAAATGCCATAACAAGAGGTGCTAGCTGAAAAATCTGAAGCAATGTTAACTTCCCATCCGTACATCGTACGTTCATCTAGACCAGAACTGTCAACGAATTTTTGATCCGCACTTGAAACAACTAATACTACAGCGCTAATTAATGGCACTAGTAACTTAAACATCTTTATTAATTAACTACTAACTAAAAAAACGGATCTATTAAGAATTAGCTTTTAAACGTTCAACGCACTAATCCAGAATGTGATTCTCTATCTTGAGTTGGTTCAAGTCTTATTTTTAGTATCTCGAAAATTGTAAACAAGGGTTACTGTTATACTGCGTCTAAGCTCATAAATACGATTCCCAACTACGCAATAACTGATTTAGAAAAAATTTATAAATATTTATAGTCTATATTTAAGTAGTCTTACGTAGAAACGTTTGTTTTGATAAAGCTTGACTTGGCTTGTAAAGAATTTTTACTTTGTCCAAAACAATTTCAGTCTTTATAGTACTAATTTAAATGGATAATTTGCTTTCATTATTTTTTTTAATAATTGCTGATTGATCATTGCAATTGGTTTGGATCATTTTTCGCTTCATTATTTTTCTTCCTTTAATTACTCATGAAAATATTGTTCAAAATGACAAATAAAATTTCTGTCAAAGTTTGAACTCTTACACTGATAAAAAATTTTAATTGATTCAAAAGAAGAAATCTTGAATCAAAAATACCATTTCGAAGAAAATAATTATCTTGAGTCACGAGAAAAAATTTTTGAGCCAAGAAACATTTACTTAACTGAAGAATAATTTATTGGCTCAGTAATTTTTTTTCTTGTCTCAAAAAAATAATTTTGAGATAAAAAAACTTTTTGAACTATTTTGAACTTCAAAGTAAAAAATGAGTATTGCGTTATTTTATTCTTAATAACTATTTATTATCAAAAATGAAAAATTCTTAAAAAATCCCGCTTTGCCCTACAAGAGGGCTTAAAGCGAGTAAGCCGTTCAGGCAAAACCGGTAAGTACAATAGACTTTACAAACCTGAGTTTATAATCATAACTTTAGGGATCATTATTGAAACTTTAATTGAACGTATAATTATCATTAAAAATAACCTTCATAGAAAAATTTTTGACGTATCTTATCAGCCTTATTGAAAGTCTAAATGATATAAATGAATATCACATTAACTTAATTTGGTGCATTTGTTAATTAAATATTAAATAATGAATTTAATGATTAAATCATCAGACTAGTTAACTTTCATTATAAAAAAATAACTTTTTAAGTTATTATTATCTCATAGAAAATTAAAATCTCATCTGATACGCTTGTCGATATAATAAAAAAATAATAAATGATTAAATCATTAGACTATTAACTGTCATATAAAATAATTTTTCAAGTTATACATAACTAATTTAAATTTTATACTTATTTTAAATCAGTCAACTTATAAAGTCTCATTCTTTACATAAATCACGAAAATAAGATAATCTTGCCGCGTTGCAACAACAGATAACAGTTGTTAATTTACCTCTTTCCGTACTTGAAATCCCTGATTTTTTTATATTCTAAAAAAATATTGAAATGAAAGCATTATTTCAGGATTACAAAGTATTCAATAGAATCAGAAATTTTAAATGCTGGTTAAATCTTTTTATATTCTAAAAAAATATTGAAATGAAAGCATTATTTCAGGATTACAAAGTATTCAATAGAATCAGAAATTTTAAATGCTGGTTAAATCTTTTTATATTCTAAAAAAATATTGAAATGAAAGCATTATTTCAGGATTACAAAGTATTCAATAGAATCAGAAATTTTAAATGCTGGTTAAATCTTTTTATATTCTAAAAAAATATTGAAATGAAAACATTATTTCAGGATTACAAAGTATTCAATAGAATCAGAAATTTTAAATGCTAGTTAAATCTTTTTATATTCTAAAAAAATATTGAAATGAAAGCATTATTTCAGGATTACAAAGTATTCTATAGAATCAGAAATTTTAAATGCTAGTTAAATCTTTTTATATTCTAAAAAAATATTGAAATGAAAGCATTATTTCAGGATTACAAAGTATTCTATAGAATCAGAAATTTTAAATGCTAGTTAAATCTTTTTATATTCTAAAAAAATATTGAAATGAAAGCATTATTTCAGGATTACAAAGTATTCTATAGAATCAGAAATTTTAAATGCTAGTTAAATCTTTTTATATTCTAAAAAAATATTGAAATGAAAGCATTATTTCAGGATTACAAAGTATTCTATAGAATCAGAAATTTTAAATGCTAGTTAAATCTTTTTATATTCTAAAAAAATATTGAAATGAAAGCATTATTTCAGGATTACAAAGTATTCTATAGAATCAGAAATTTTAAATGCTAGTTAAATCTTTTTATATTCTAAAAAAATATTGAAATGAAAGCATTATTTCAGGATTACAAAGTATTCTATAGAATCAGAAATTTTAAATGCTAGTTAAATCTTTTTATATTCTAAAAAAATATTGAAATGAAAGCATTATTTCAGGATTACAAAGTATTCTATAGAATCAGAAATTTTAAATGCTAGTTAAATCTTTTTATATTCTAAAAAAATATTGAAATGAAAACATTATTTCAGGATTACAAAGTATTTAATATGATTAATCGTGAATTTTGAAACAGGATTTGCAGTATTTAGCAGAATTTGGAAGTATTAACATTTTAATTCTTTTTAATTCTGTCAAATTCCTTTTTTTAATCAGGGATGACACTAACCTGCTTTTTTCCAGATTTTGACAGAATTTTTGGAAGCTTACTAATTGATATATGAACGCCAGTATCATCTAAGCCGTATCAATGTTATGCTTATCGATTTTCTTTTTCTAGCAAAACATAAAATCTGTATACTTGAGGCCTATTAAACCCTTGTGCTCTAGCGATGGATCTTGGCTCTGGTTGTCTCATAACCAAATTTGGATGGCGTTTTTTAAAACCTAAGTACCAGTCATTACTAGCAAAGCCATCTTTAAAAGAACAAGTAATAATATCACGTTCAACATATTGATAGACTAGTTTTAAAAATTCATTTTTAGTCAGACCATAATTAAAGTCATCGACCTGAAATATGTATTCAAGTAACTCAGCTTTTTGAACATCATTAAAAACTCTTTGATGTCGTCTAAGATTTTTGGTGCAGCTTTCTTTTTTCAGATGGTGGTACGGGGAATACCATATTTTTTTGTCGCTGCTGAAACCAAAGTTGTTTCAGATTCTTTCATTGCATTTTTCGTCGTCACTTCACACCACTAGGCTGCTTAATTTGTCTTCCTTTTATATTTATTAACTATCTATAACGAAACGCTTCGAACTCGTAAATAGCGGGAAGTTCCAGGGATGGCTTGTAGGGTCAACTGTTTTCCAGATTTTTTTTTATTACCTTTTGAATGACAGCGAGCAGTTTTTTATTGCAAATGGCTGTGTGATTTGGTGTCATTTAATTATAATTAATAAAAAACTTTAAAATAAAAAAAAAGTTCGGCAAATCCAAGTGTGCATGCCTTTGCAAAAATAAGAATTATTTTTTTTCATAAAAATTAAATGAACGTTATGAAGCGTGCACTTTTGGATTTTCCAAAATTTTTTTTAATTGATCGTGAAATTTCATCAGAGTTTTTTATCTAAGCTTTTACAAAGATTAGTATGTAAACATGGATAGTGAATAAACCTTGACCAATTTAATTTTTTTTTTTTCATTTGCAAAAATTTGTTGATAAATATAATTAATCATAACAATCAGTAAAGATCAGGTATCTTATTTCTATTAGGGTAGGATAAAAAAATTTTAATCAAATTGAAAGGGATTGGGGTCAAAAGTAGTCGATTTGGCGTGGAATGCCCCATATATTAAATGCTCATGACAACTCTACAACCATATTGCTTGGAGAGAAGCTTATTTATTATCAAAATATAAATTATCGAATGAAACAAAGACACATAGAACAACATAAATTATTTCTAAAGAATATCTTGCAGTAACGGTAGACAAATGCTCATGAAGTTTGATAGTATACAGCTATGATGGTAGACTCAGAGCGAAGCTATAATTTTGCCAATTTGGGATTCGTGTATGTGAATATCATTGTCATTCCATCAGTAGTAAAAATTAAAACCATTATTAAATATTATGACTCTTGTACCTTTTTAAAAACAATAAATTTGTGATAGTGAGAGTTTCATATCAGAAAAATTATAGTTTAAAATAATTTCTGAATTAATAAATCTTGTGTACCTTTAATTGTAGAGATTTTCTTCAAAACTGTTATTAGGGTTAGGGCACTGATACATCTCACTGTTTGCATTCATACAAATCAATAGTTTTTTCATTGCTTCTTTTGCAGTACGGTGACTTTCTGCAAAAAAAATGTCGATTTATTAATTATAGAATAGTGAGCTCTTCATTCATGTCAAATCGACTACTTTTGAATACGACTTCTTTCGATTTCGCTAAAATTTTTTCAACTTTTTTCTAACTCACAGATTACTGCTCTTAGAATATTTAAAAATTTTTTTATCCAACCAAAAAAAAATACAAATTTCTTAAAATATTAATTTTTTAATAGCCACTAGAATTGAATTTACGCGCGCAAGCGCGCGCCTTGACTATAGAGTTTGCATATATTTTCATGCTTATGATATATTCGACCAATCACGTTACGAATAGTTTGATGCCACATACATTTCATCTCAATTTTATATTAGGACTAGAATTTGAATTTACGCGCGCAAGCGCGCGCTTTGACTATAGAGTTTGCATATATTTTCATGCTTATGATATATTCAACCAATCACGTTACGAATAGTTTGATGCCACATACATTTCATCTCAATTTTATATTAGGACTACAATTTAATTTTCGCGCGACTATGGAATTTGCATATATTTTCATGCTTATGACATATTCGACCAATCACGTTACGAATAGTTGGATGCCACATATATTTCATCTCAATTTTATATTAGGAACGCGCGCAAGCGCGCGCTTGACTATGGAATTTGCATATATTTTCATGCTTATGACATATTCGACCAATCACGTTACGAATAGTTGGATGCCACATATATTTCATCTCAATTTTATATTAGGAACGCGCGCAAGCGCGCGCTTGACTATGGAATTTGCATATATTTTCATGCTTATGACATATTCGACCAATCACGTTACGAATAGTTGGATGCCACATATATTTCATCTCAATTTTATATTAGGAACGCGCGCAAGCGCGCGCTTGACTATGGAATTTGCATATATTTTCATGCTTATGACATATTCGACCAATCACGTTACGAATAGTTGGATGCCACATATATTTCATCTCAATTTTATATTAGGAACGCGCGCAAGCGCGCGCTTGACTATGGAATTTGCATATATTTTCATGCTTATGACATATTCGACCAATCACGTTACGAATAGTTGGATGCCACATATATTTCATCTCAATTTTAT